AAAAAAAAAAAAAAAAAAAAAAAAAGTTTAATTCACAAGCAGCTGAGAAACGGATGCCTCCAAAAATCCCATCTCTGACGCTCCAAGATAATTGGCAGATGTCACCCAACACCCTGTTCTAGGCTAAAACACGAGCAGGGTTTTTTTGTTGGTTTTTTGTTTGGGTTTTTTTTTTAATGACAGCTGTGAGGAAAGGGGAGTTACCTCTACAGAGCAGCCACCCAGACCTGTGAAACCTGGGTTTAGTTCCCTCCCCAGCCTGGAGGGACTCAAACCCACATCTAGAAGAGCATGCTGGTTACCAGACTGCATCGCGCCCGCTGGAGGTGCCACCACCACCTCTTCTGGCTCAAGGACAGTCCCAGGCACGAGACGAGGAGTGGACTGTAGCTGTCAACAGGCCTGACCCCCTTTCACAATACTGTACCCACGTTCCTTCCCGGTGCCCCAGAACAAGGAGTTCAAGGCTCCCCTGCATCCTGCAGGAGGCATTTCTCTCTGCGCTAATTACAGCATTTCTCTCACCATCTGCTCTTTAATGCAGCCAGAAAGTTTCGAGAGAAAGGGTGGGGTGTCCTCCTGCCAGTTATCTCACAGCACAGCCCGGTAAGTCTTGGGTAGCGGAGGCTGGTTGCAAACACGCTGGGCAAAGCAAGGCAGAGGTGTCACCTCCCGACAGGCGTTTCGGCTGGTAGGCTGAGGGTTTCTGCGTCACCCCCAGTCACTCGAGAGGAAAAAAAACTCCAGCGTGGAGACCGTGACCATATTCTGCCCTCGCTGCACACACACTGTCCATCGAGTCACCCTGTAGGGGACAGACCCCTGAAACAGCGTCTCCTGATGAGGGGTGTTTGGTTCCCAAGCGTGGGCACAAGGATCGGGGGCATGGAAGTCCAGGGAGACGCAGCAGGACATCACTGTCACCAGCACACGCAGGGACAAGGGTTCTTAAGGAGAATCGAGATGTTAAGGCCACACGGTCCTCAACACCAGGAGGGCAGCACACCCCCCGTAGGTACAGCCCCACACCAGGTACACTTGCACCAGGAGACTGAAAGCTGAAGTGCAACCTGGTTGTGCAAGTCTCCTTGGGAACACAGGCCATGTGTAACCATATAGAACAAATTTAGGTTAGAAATAAAAATTTGCCTATCTATATACTCCCACTAGCTCTAAGCGCTGCAGCTAGCCCCTTCCCTCTGTGACGCTTTGTTACAAACAGCTACTGCACAAGCCACTGGAAAACACACACACCCCCCAGAGCCAGGCTTAATGCTCAGGGTAGCTCACCAGAGCCAGGCTTAACCCTTGCGGTAGCTCACTGGGGTGAAAGGGATCACAAATGACCCTCTCCTGCCCCACACTGTTTCCAGATGAGTTAACACACTGTGGATGCACCACAGATGTTCAGGAACATGAAGAGCACACACCCAAACAAAAACCTGCTGAAAGAAACCTCCCTTTCAATTAAGCAGTGTGACAACTTAAGTCATTTAAATACAAAGCATCTTCTGCTTTGAGGGAGTTGCTGCGTCCTAGAAGAACTAGAAGTTGGTGAACGATTGCATTGAAACGGCTGCAGAGCTTCACTGACAAAACAAAACAGAAGGTCGGTTATGTGCTAACTTGTGGCAGTCAACAGGACAGGAGTGAAGGTTTCATTTATATTAGGCTCTGAACACGCCTTTACTTAGAACACAGACAGAGCTTCCAAAGCATCAGATCAAATTCAAATTACTGCATGTGTTCATTAGTTATCTTGACATTTTCCAGCACAGCCCACTTCGCTTCCTGTCACCGATGTCTTGTCTTTTTTACTGGTAAATGCACCAAGTCCGATCCGGTCCAGTTTCCATTGTGCTGATCAGCTTTCCGAGATTACCACATTATCTCACTCACTGCCTTGCCACATCTCCTCCAAAAGTGAAACTTGTCCTTTCTGTTAAAGATTTATTAAGCAAGGAAACAGAAGCTGAGCAACCAACTCTTCCTCTTTTCGATAAATATATTTTTTTTAAAAAAAAAAGTCAGCAATAAACACCTCCTAAGCACTAAAGGTTACCACTGGCCACGGGTCAGCGTACGGCTGGGAAATGATCTGATACTCTCCTGCTGTAGGAGAAAACACCAGGAAAAATAACCGCAACCCTCTACAAGCACGGTACCACACCAGAGATCCTGACTGACGACTGCAGACAGACGTTTGACTCCACCACCTCGCCTTCAGAGCTGAAGCTGGCTCGAACAAAACCGCCCACAGAACACCGCTCCGTCGGCCAGAGCCGGGGCTGCCCGCCCCGAGCAGGGCACCGGCGGGGACCGACACCCCGGGCCGGAGGCACCGCGCGGCTCCTCGGCCACCGCTTCACTCCTTATTCGAAATTTTAAGCCGGTTGCTCCTCCAGGCCACCGGGATATTCGAGGTGAATTCCCCAGCGCAGTGACTCACCAGGAGGCTGCTCCGAGTTCCTCTTTCCTAAAGGATTTGCTTCACTACACCAGCTGCGCTCATTTGCCTGCGAGCGGGAAAATCCCCTCACGCAGAGCCAGAGAAGCGCAGGGAGAGGTTCCACAGACGCCTCACCCGCGTTCCCGCCACCTGCCACACCGAGATTTCCCCCCCCGCCGGCCGCCGGTACCGGAGCGACCCCGCACGCTCCCGCCACCTCCCGGTGACCCCGGGCCTGTCTCTTATAC